AAACCCCAAACCCTAAACCCTAAAACCCTTAAACCCCAAACCCTAAACCCTAAAACCCTTAAACCCTAAACCCTAAACCCTAAACCCTAAACCCTAAACCCTAAAACCCTAAAACCCTAAAACCCTAACATTCTGGTTTAAGATCTGTTCATTAAGGGGCCATTGGACTCTTTGGGGGCCCTGCGGCCTCGAAGGCCAGGACCAAAGACTCGAGGTAACAGAAGGGCCTAAATAAGTACCTATACTATTCTGGTTTAGGGTTTAGGGTTTAGGGTTTAGGGTTTTAGGGTTTAGGGTTTTTAGGGTTTAGGGTTTAGGGTTTAGGGTTTAGGGTTTTGAGGGTTTTGAGGGTTCCTTATTATAATTCGAGTATAATTCGGCTCCAAAACCGTAGTCTAAGCAGTGGAGCCCAGGGAGCCCGAGGCTCCTTCATCAAGGAAATTACCTCAATCCAGGATGTTCATCTTAAGCCCTGAAGCGTAGGGTTTAGGGTTTAGGGTTTAGGGCTTAGGGTTTAGGGTTTAGGGTTTAGGGGCACCTAAACCCTCCTACGCTGTAAATGCTAAACGCTAATCTCTAACCCAACATCCCAAACCCGAAAGCCTGTAGAACCCTGAACCCCAACATAGAAATCCCAAAGCTCAAACGGTACATCCTAAAGCCAAAAGCCAGACCCTCAACCTTGAACCCTCCGTGATAGACTCCTTATACAGCCGAAAAGAGCCATCAAGCACAAGTGTGGGGAAAAAGGGTGCTTTCGAGCTTACGGAGTTGGGGGGGGGGGTCTAGGGGCTTAGCGTTCCCTAAACCCTAAAACTCTCAACCCAAACCCTAAACCTCAATCCCTAAACCCCAAACCCTAAACCGCAAATCCCAAACCCTAAACTCCATAAAGAAACCCAAAACCCTAATCCCGAAACCCGAAAATCCTGAAAGAAACCTGAGCCTTGAATCGGTTTAGGGTTTAGGGTTTAGAGACTGAGGAGCTTCCTCGCTACTACTTGGCCCTCTCGCGGGACAGCTCTCGGAGCCTTTGCAGCCTTTTTGTGCTTTGACGGGGGGGGGGGGTTCAGAGACGGTTTATAGCTCTCATAGGATTTTGATCGGTTTTTGGGTCGAGATTTCACAAGGGTTTTACAGCTCTGCTCCCTTTAAGGGTTCAGGGTTTAGGTTTTATAAGGGTTTTACAGCTCTGATCACTTTAAGGGTTCAGGGTTTAGGTTTTATAAGGGTTTTATAGCTCTGTTCAATTTTAGGGTTCAGGGTTTAGGTTTTATAAGGGTTTATAGCACTTGTAGGGCCTTGTTTCAGCATGCTTTTGACATTGCAAGGCGTCCATTGTTACAAGAGGTTACATGGTTAGAGCAGCCACGATTTCTAAGCTGGGCTGTTGCCGACCGGAAACGAGACGGCGAGCGTTAACGTTTCATCCCTACCTTGAACCCTAAAGCCTATACCCTAAGCCCATCTTCTCCAGCTGGTTCCGACATGGCCCCTTAAAGCTTTGGACCGAAATGGCTCCAGCGAGCAGCGACTCGTGGCTTTTGGGCTATGCTCGTCGCCCAGATTTCTTCCGAGCAGGAATTCGGCGTCCAGTCCGGCATTTCGCTTGTCCTGAAGTTAGTGGTGGTAGTGTAAGGGCCTTAATAATGACCTATACTATTTTGGGAGGTCCTTGTTATAGTTATAGCAAAATATACCCCAAAACCCTATTCTTATTGTTACGGTCCGGATGCTCTCATTCACTGTTCGATTTGGCCGGCCCTCGATGCTCCCATTCCTTTGAGATGCGGTGTATCCGACAGCCGCATGCCTCTGCTGTCTGCAGATTTATGGTTCCGGGTTTAGGGTTTCGGTGTGCTTGCTTGCTTGAACCGTCGATCCTCCGTTGGTTTTGAGAACGTTTCCTTGAAGTGGTCCATTGGTCCAGAGGCTCACGCAGTTTGTGCGCTTGCATGCGCGTTGTCTTCTCCGCAGCGTTGTGCGGAGCCCCACGCCACAAACGCTTTGTCTGACTTCCTCTTTCCTCCTCCGATGAAGGCCAGAACAAGGTTTATTCGCTAGGAAGCCACCACCGCCAAATGCCCTCCTTGTGCATCGATAAAGTCAGCAAAGGAAAGAGTGTTCAAGCTGTCTTCTTCGAAACCTTTGAGAAGCCCTAAACCCTAAACCCTAAACCCCTAAACCCCTGAACCCCTAAACCCTAAACCCTCAACCCCTAAACCATAAACCTAAAGCCCTAAGCTGTGAACCCGAAGCTTTAAACTCTACACCCCAGGCTCTAATCTCTAAGCTGAAATTCCCGAGCCCCGCGCCCCCTAAAAGCCCCAGCCGAGGACCGAACGAAGCATACTCTGGGCAGACGGCGTCCCATGGTCTCCTGACCTGGGCTTCCTTGGGATTTTTTAGAAACTTCTACAGGCCCCCACATGTTTTTGTATAAGGGATACTGTAAGGGTTTTTTCAGGGTATCATAAACCCTAAACCCTAAACCGTGCGCAAAAGGTTTCTGGGGTGGGGGTCCGGGGCTAAAAGGCATCCTGGGTACATTTTGAGAAATTTCGTTGTCTTTGTTGAGTCTTCCGATTTTTCGAGGTTTTTCGGGCGCTTCTAGAGGCCTTGTTGGGCGATAGCCCATGACCGAGGAGTTACAGAATGCTTTTTGACTCTTTTGCTAGGCTTCTAAGTGTGATTTATAGAATATATGTATGTATGTATGTATGTATGTATGTATGTATGTATGTATGTATGTATGTATGAATGCGTTAAGAGGTCTCAGGGTTTAAGTTTCTTTTCGTGGAATCGGGGGTGTGTGCCGAGCCAGATGCTATGTCGTCGAGTCGCAGAGAGTGTGACGTTTCAATTCGATTTCGTTGTTGCGGAGCATCGTAGGAGCTTGAGTGATCTAGTCATAGACCAGGAATCTGGCTCTTTTGCAGCCCTAACAGCTTGATGCTCCGAAATCCGATGAAGTTCACCTGCCCCTAGCCGGGCCTAATCTTACAAGGCAACGAGCAACATGCTTAACCACCGAAGGCCCTCATGCCCAGTTCTTCGTAGGCATTGCAGCGCCTGCAAAGTCCGAAGTCCATGGAGTCTCAGACTAGGTTTAGGGTTTAGGGTTTGGGGGTTTATGTTTTTAGGGTCTGCCCTAAACCCTAATCTCTGAACCCTTTCGAGTGCCCTAGGTCTTGATTTCCACCCAGCTTGCAATGCCCCTGGGCGCAAATCCTGTCTCGACCGGATCTTGCCAAGCTGGCTTGAAGTCTTCTTTAGATTTAGGTAGGGTTTGTTGGTACTATAACGGTTACTATAGGGGTTGGCAGAAGGTTACAGTAGGAGTATTGTAATGGTTACAATAACTGTTCGGGTTTGGCATCGCTGCCGTGTTGAGCTATTTCAGCCCTTTCGCTTCACCCTTGCTCCGAGCAGCATAGTCCGCATCCACATACGTACTGCATCAGCATCACCTGTGTTTTTCACATTCCATCACTGGCAGGATGATTGTCATCATGACGGTGACGACGATTATGACGATTCTGATGACGATGCTGCTCATGCTGATGCTGGTGGCGATGCTAGCGGTGGTGATTGTGATGTGGATGTTAAGACTGATGATGATGGCAGTGTGGTGCTGAGAATGCTGATTTTGCCGGCATGTTCGAGGAGGCGATTCGTCGGGCCCGCAAGTGCAATCTGCAATGCTTTTTGGTAAACGGCACTTAAGGCCCCCCGAAGGAACCATGCGCCGAGACGTCGTTACGGTATGGGAATGCAGGGTTTAGGGTTTAGGGTTTAGGGTTTAGGGTTTAGGGTTTAGGGTTTAGGGTTTAGGGTTGGGAACTGGTGCATGGCACCGTGCCTGGGGCTCGAGGCTTCAGTCGCTTTACAAGTTCTCAAGTTCGAGCTGCAGTCTTTCTGGTGCAATGAACCATCATCAAGGAAGCATAGATGAGACATGATGGGGCCGGTACATATCAACAATTGCTGTATTGTGTATCTTTCCGTCCCTAAGCTCTACTGTTAGCCGCTGAGCAGTCTTGAGGATCGCGACATTGGGCTGCTGGCTGGCGAGCATCTGCGGCTCTTCCGCTGCTTTTGGGCTGTGCTTCCTCGTGCAGCAGGCAGCAAGCAAGCATTAGAACTTGCAGGTTGACACTGAGTAACATGACACGGCCCTGCAACCTCTGTCTCGTGCTTAGTAGGGAATGGGGGAATGGGTTATTGGGACTACTTGGAGGGACCTTAAGAAACTATCATAGGGATCTGTTCCCCCGTTCCCTACTAAGCACCAGACAGTTTTGGGGCCCTTCCCGCTGAAGGCATGTCGCGCTTTCAGGGTCTGGCGTGTTGGGGAAGCGTCACTAAAGCCCCCAAAGCCTCTAAACTCCTAACCCCTTATATAGAGAGGTTTAGGGTTTAGGGTTCAGGGTTTTAGGGTTTAGGGTTTAGGGTTTAGGGCCAAGACAGGAGCCCATTTCCTTAGTCCGACTCTGTGAGGTCATGTGGAACGGTGGCCATGCCGCTCACGCTGCCTTGCTCTCGGTACCTCGGCTTGAAGCGCCGCGTTTGTCCGAGGGGTTTCAGGGTGAAACGGTCCATGGCTTAGATCGTTTAGGGCTTTGGAGTTTGGGGTTTAGGGTTATAGCTTTTAGGTTTTAGGGTTATAGCTTTTAGGGTTTAGGGTTTAGGGTTATAGTTTTTAGGGTTTAGGGTTTAGGGGTTATAGCTTTTAGGGTTTAGGGTTTAGGGTTATAGCTTTTAGGGTTTAGGGTTTAGGTTTATAGCTTTTAGGGTTTAGGGTTTAGGGTTAGGGTATCCTCAAATCTAAACCTTCTTCCGGCTTGGGGCTTCAGAGGCTTCGAGTCGGGCCTCAGGGCGAACGTTTAGGTCTACAAGCCCGCTTCGAAAGATGAGAGGGTTTAGGGTTTAGGGTTTAGGGTTTAGGGTTTAGGGTGTCAGGTTGCAGGGCTCTTTCAGGTGACGGAGTATGAGACTAGCAACCCTTTTGAAACCCTCATAGCATCCTTAAGCCCTTTTGGGTTCGAGGGCTGTGGTTTGGTGCTGGGCAGCCAAGGGCCGACACAGCTCTAGTCTTAGGGGTTTAAGTGTTTAGGTGTTTGGGGGTTAGGTTTGAGGGGTATAGGGGGTTCAGGGTGCGGTAAAGCAGCGTGGATTTGAAGGAATCTTGTCCACCGCAGTAGGAGGCCTTAACGTCGGACCGTGAGCCAATGTTGAAGACCGGCTCCCTTCTCCTGGATTTAGAGCTCGTGGTTTGGGCTTTAGGGAGACATCCAGCTCCCTAAACCCTAAACTACCCTAAACCTTAAACCCTAAACCCTAAAACTTAAACATTAAGCTCTAAACCCTAAACCCTAAACCCTAAACCCTAAGAATCCCAGAACCCCAAGCCCCAAAACCCCAAGCCCTTGGCTGGCAGGATGTCGTGCATCCCGGCTCCATTGGCCTGGCTTCCTCCCTGCAGGCCATTACGCACCTTGGAGTTAGTAGGCTTCAAGTTTAGGGTTTAGGGTTGAATGTTTTGGGTTTAGGGTTTAGGGTTTAGGGTTTAGGGTTTAGGGGATTAGGGTTTAGGGTGTAGGGTTTAGGGGTTTTCGGCTTAGGGCTTTGATGCAGATAGGTCCTACCCCAATACGACGCAGATTACTCCCTCTCGTTTCCGTCATGCGATGTCCAGCAGGCATACTTGGAGGTTCATGGGTAGTTTTTAAGTGGGG